TTAAAGTTGGTTTTGGATTTCTAATATAAAATAGAGTAAACACTATTTTTAGTCTCTGTTAATGTCTACGAAGTTCTTTTTAGTCTCTGACAATAAAAAATGATCAAATTGGTCCCTGAAATTACAAAAAAGGGCTATGTTAGTCCTTATGTCAACTCCCAAATATGTAGAGTGATCCTTTCTAATATAAAATAGAGTAAACACTATTTTTAGTCTCTGTTAATGTCTACGAAGTTCTTTTTAGTCTCTGACAATAAAAAATGATCAAATTGGTCCCTGAAATTACAAAAAAGGGCTATGTTAGTCCTTATGTCAACTCCCAAATATGTAGAGTGATCCTTTTCTTGTACTTTCAGGGACCAATTTGGTCCTTTTTTATTGCCAGGGACTGAAAAGAACTTCGTAGATATTGCCAGGGACTAAAAAGAGTGTTTACTCTATAAAATATGATTTTCATTTCTATCTCTTACAAAAAAAAATCAATTTTGATCCCTTTAGTATTTTAGTTCTTTAAAAATAAAGTCCTTCAAAAATTTAACGAAGACTCAATTTAGTCTCTAAAAAATGACTAATATAGACATTTTTTTTCGTAAAAACAATATATTTTGTTAGGAATTTAAAAGATGCTTTACTCAAAAATTTAATTAATTATAATTTAAATAAATAATTATGAATATATAACTATTTTGAAATTATTTATGAATCTATCGCAGTTACTCACGTCTAAATAGGGCATGACCATTAATGCCTAACTTAGGCGTGAGGTATTCATGCCTAGAAAAGGCGTGACCACTTACGCCTCTTTTAGGCATGACCAACCTCGCTTCCGTTGCTGATACGTGGCATAAAAAATTAATAGTTTGACCGTGAAATTTTAAAAGATCATAAACAATGGTGGCTACCAGGAAAGCACGGACACACAATTTTTTTTTAAATTTGCGTGTCGGACACGTGTCCAACACGGACACGTTCGGACACGCGGTCAACATTTGGGGACACGCGGTCAACTTTTCGACACGTTTTTTCGACACGCAGTCACCTTTTTCTGACACGCGGTCAACACTCGGACACATTTTCGGACACGCTCGGACACATTTTTTTTTTTAAATCTTAATTTTATTTTGTTAACTAAATATATGAGAAATAATTTATAAATTAATTTTTTCCTATTATGAAATTTGACATGAAAAATTAACAAAGTACGAAAAATTATTTATATTTATATTTATGTTATGAAATTTAAATATTTCATTGATTATATGACTTATTATGGACTCTTATATGTATTAAATATAAATTATATTACATATATTAAAAATTTTATTTAATATCTAAATGTGTCCCATCGTGTCGAAATATGACATTTTTTAAAATTAACGTGTCGGCGTGTCGTGTCGTGTCCCGTGTCTGTGCATCGTAGGTGGCTACCAATTGAAGACAAGATGAGGATACTTAATCTCAGTTTTTTTTATTTCGCATAACTTTTCAAAATAAACTTGTTTGGTATATTTTATATCCGTAAGTGTGAATGATGTTATTTAAGTTGAAGTTTCGTCTCTCATAAATAAAGTTTGAATTTGTAACAATGGTACTATAATTATAGGGATGTTTGCTAGGAATACTACTTTTAATCACGATAGTGATTTTCTCTCCATCAATTCTGCAGCTCATGGTGTTGGTTTAAAAAGAACTCGGAGGCTTTTGGATTTGTGAGAGATAAATTATGCCAAATGAAGTGTCATTGCAAAGATCTCAACATTTTACGTGGAATAAAAAAAAATCACATAATTTGGGCACCCAAGGCTAAAGTTATTATCTTCCAAAGTTTTACGATTAGGCGTGACTAGGGGTGTTAATAGGCCGGGCCGAGCCGAGCCGAACTTTGGTCTTAAAAGGCTAAGTCTGTGTTTAAATATGTCAGTCTGACCAAGCCTGTTACCTGTTATGAATATAATTTTAACCTGTGGCCTGTTGTATTTACAAACAATAAAAGTCTGGTTTAGCCTGTTAGCCTGTTTAAAACAAAATAAGACAACAAAAATTTATCCAAACAAAATATACAGTCAACAACACTAGTAATTCCATAAATATTCATAAATCTAATGTATATCCAAGCAGCATAATATAAAACAAAATATGTGAAAAAGTATGTTTAATTAATAAAATGAGATGAAATGGATTGAGGAGAGAGAGACGGCTATCACAAGTAGTATAAAAAATATAAAATAAAAATAAAATTTAATATATTTGGCCAGCCTGAGAGGCTCTAAGGCCGAGCTTTTGAATTGGAGCCTGAAGCCTTTTTATTAAACGAGCTTTTATACAAGTCCAAGGCTAGTTCCTACAATCAATTTTAGACATAAAAGATCGGGCCTTCACGAGTCGAGCCAAAGGCCCCTGACTCGTTTAGCACCCCTAGGCATGACTGCCTTCGTGGTCAGTGGTCACGCTTTCTTTAAGCGTGAGTGGTCACGTCCAAAATGAACGTAAATATCAATAATAAATTCATAAATAATTTTGAAAAAGTTATATATTTATAGTTATTTATTTAAATTATAATAAATTAATTTTTTCTCATCACTTGTCAATTGTCATAGTAGGAAATCCAACTTACAACATTTCTATATATTTACAGTTGAAACTTAATGTATACTTAAATATCATGTTCTATCTCTTGGGAAGGTTTACTGATTCACAGGATGGGTCCTTTCATTTAACATAAGATGACGATTTTATTTATAAACGAAGAAAATAATACTCTCATGCCACATGAGATTACATTATTTTCCAACACAAATTTATTTTCCGTGTCAATTAATTTTTCTTTTTTTTTTAATATAAAATATGGGACTCACATTTAACTTTTCTCTACTTTCTTTCTCTCCTACAATCCTACAACATAAAAAAACTTAAACCCATAAATGAATTGAGATTATTTCAAATGACACTCCATGTCGTATAAGAATATCAAACAATAATCTGGCCAAAAGTTTAAACTTTTAATTTATATTATATTTATTAAAAGATAAAATTATTTCCTTTACATATAAAAATCTACGAAATTTATATTTTTTTTATATTTCTTCTCTTCACATGACTCTATATGAGTCTTACATATTTTTATGTATACAAGAGATAAAATTATTTTTTATAACTTTAAAAACATTAAGTCCTATATTTATAAAATACTATATTATAGTGCCCGACAATTCATTACTTCTTTTTCTCCTTAATTTAAGATGGACCGCATTTCAACCCATTTTATTCACTTCTTGAAACATGTTTGCACTTCGCCCTAATCAAAACTCCAAAATACCCATCCCAACTTCATTTTTTTTTTTTACATAATTTTGTCTGTATTGTCATCATAAACATTAAATAAACATTGTGCTATTAAAATTTTTAAGTATATAATAAAAAGAAAAGAAATACAAAATTGTCAACTGATAACCTTTCCCCCACTTTTGACTAATACAATGAAAAAACAATAAATTACGGAATTAATTTTCTTCAAATTATTTAGTCGCCTAATATTCTAATGCAACTGAAATGCGTATTAGGAATGTAATTTGTGTAGGGGGTTTGTGGTCTGGATTGGATCAGTTTTGAAGCAAAAATTATCTGATCTAATCCCTTCAGTTTGATTATGTAATCATCCATTCGATTTTAATTTTTTTCCAAATCCAATCCAGTTTTTTTCGGTTTGGATTAGATTGATTTTTAATTTTTTGAAAACTCTAAAATTTATTTGATGATTATTGTGTAAATAACATATCTTTTGTATGTATTGGTTTGTAATTTTTTTTTTTTAAATATATAAGCATCAGTAAAGGATAATGTGATTTTTTTTGGGCAATGAGATATGAAGCTCTACATAGACAAAATTTGGCTGATGACGTGCAACTTCATTTTTTCTTGGGTTTAGTTGATGAGTTAATGAGTTTTGAGTTTAGAATTTTTTGGACTATGATTGGGGATAGACCGAAGTAGGTAAAGAGAAATTAATATATTAGATCGGTTTGGATTGGATCGGATCGATTTTCACCAACCAAATCGAAAACCAATTCAATCCAATCCAATTAATTAATTTTTTTTTTATTTTCAATTTTTCAATTTTTGGTTAATTCGGTTATCGATTCGATCATTGTGGTTTGAATCGATTTAGATCAATTGATAAACATCCCTAGTTGACATAATGCAAGATACACATTCTTATACACATCTTGCAAAGCGTGACGGAGGATGATGTAGAGGAAATTTTTAAGATTCTCGGAAAAATAATAGTGGTAAACCTATTTATCCATATTTGATATAAAGTTTATGAAAATATTCCCGAGATTTTGCTTTGTGTACAATTTTTCTTTCAATTGCCATCTAAGAATACCACCCCTTTGGGTTTATGGGTGGTATTCTTGTAATCTCTGGTATGGGAAAATTTTTACACTTTTTTATGAACAAAATCTCGATAATATTTTTATTTATCATATAGTTTTTTGATAATATTTTAGAAAAAATAATTTTCACACCATATTACTGAGAATCATGATTTTAGAGTAAATACATTTTTTGGTCCTCAGCAAATTTCACGATACCCGCTTTAGTCCCTAGCAAATAAAAAGACCTATCGTGGTCCCTAAGAAATTCAAAATAGACTCACGATTTCAACTAAATATGTTCATTTTGAATTTGTTAAGGACCGCGATAGGCCTTTTTATGTGTTAGGAACTAAAACGGACATCGTAAAATTTGCCGAGGACTAAAATAGATATTTAATCTCAATTTTATTCTTTAGCAAACGTCCGGTAAGTGTGTCTTAAACATAAACACTTGGCAAAAGGATGAAACCGGTTTTTTTTATTCTTTTTTTATTTTTTTCATTACAAGGGTCAAAATCCCTTTCTTCCCCATCAAAGTCATTCAGCCATTTATCTTCCTTCCACACCATAAAAAGCCATACTAAACAGCAAACACAAAAGAAAGCACATACCTCTTCATCCCAAATGGAGATAATGCTAAGACCCATCCTCACTCTCTTCCTCACCATCTTCCTCATCTCCCACATTTCAGGTACTTTCTTCTCCCTCTCTTTCTCACACACACACCCACATTTTTTAACTTCACAACAACATTAAAAGAAACTGAAATTAACTAACCACACAAGAACAATGTAACTAACCATACATGCTTGTCACTTGTTTTTTTTTTTTTTTTGTTCAAAACAGTGTCAAAGGTATCATCAGCATCAGCAGCAACCATAACGCTATGCAACAAGTGTCCTCACCCAGTGTGGCCCGGTATCCAACCCAGCTCAGGAAAGCCCATCTTGGCCCAAGGAGGCTTCCACCTTCCACCAAACAAGGCCCAAACTCTCCAACTCCCTCCACTCTGGTCGGGCCGTTTCTGGGGCCGACACGGCTGCGCATTCGACGCCGCAGGCCGCGGCCGCTGCGATACCGGAGACTGCGGCGGAGCCCTCTTCTGCAACGGCCTCGGCGGAACCCCGCCGGCAACACTCGCCGAGTTCACCTTCGGCGACGACCAAGACTTCTACGACGTGAGCCTCGTCGATGGCTACAACCTCCCCTTATCCATAACCCCATTGAAGGGTTCAGGAAAATGCAGCTACGCTGGGTGTGTCAGGGACCTCAACGCCATGTGCCCCGTGGGCCTGCAGGTTAGGTCACGTGACCAGAGGCACGTGGTTGCATGCAAGAGTGCTTGCTCTGCTTTCAACTCGCCTAGGTACTGTTGCACTGGGCCTTACGGAAGCCCACAGGCCTGCGGGCCCACTGCTTATTCGAGGATATTCAAAGTGGCTTGTCCTAAGGCCTATTCTTATGCATATGATGACCCAACGAGCATTTCTACTTGCTCTAAGGCTAGCTATTTGGTCACCTTCTGCCCTCACGGGTCTCTCTCAAATAATAATTAATTAATCATCATTTAATTTCTATAGTTTGTTAGCTAGGCTTTATCAATCTATAATGTTAACAAATGTGACTCTTGGTGTGTTTTTGATTAGTGTACAACCTATTCATATTCTATGGTAGTTGTTGGTGAATGTTGAACCGTTTATTAATGCCCTCTATTTGTTTTTTAGTCATCCAACCTACAACCCTTCTCTCTTATTTTAGTGTATGAAATTTCCTTCTTGATGGGTGTATTTATATAGCAATGCATATTCTATGGTGGTTGTGCTTTAATTTGGCTCTTAATTTATTTGTCCATAGACTGAAATGAGATAGTACACGATGCTTGTTTTGGTTTGTCATTCATCTCCACTAATGGTGCAATTGATGGGTACATTTTTTTTTTTCAAATAGTGGGTGACTGGGTGAATTAATTAATAATTATTTGTCTCTTTGGAAGAGAATATTCTATGGATTTTGCGCTCTTAAGCTTTGGAATTAACTAGTGTTGAAAAAAGGTGACCGACGTGGTCGGGTTTAGGGGTGTTCATCAACCGATCCAAACCGATTCAAACTGCGGTGACCGAACCGAAAAATCGATAACCGAACAAACCGAAAACTGAAAAATAAAAAACCAAAAAAAAAACCGCAACTTTTAATTGGATTGGATCGGTTTTTGGATTGCTTAATAAAAACCGATCCAATCCAAACCGATCCAATATATTAATTCTCCTCTACTTACTTTGGTCTTTCTCCAATCATAATCAAAAAAATTCTAAACCCAAGACCCATTAACCCATCAACTAAACCCAAGAAAAAATCTAGTCACATCTCATAAAAAAAAATTCATCTGCGTAGAGCTTCATATCTCATTGCCCCAAAAAAAAAACTATATTATCGTTTACTGATTCTTTTGTATTTCAATTTTTTTTACAAAGCCAATATATATACAAAAGATGTTCTGCATGAAACAAATTTTAGGATTTTCAAAAAACCGAAAACCAATCCAATCCAAACTGAAAAAAATTGGATTGAATCGGATCGGATTTGAAAAAAAATCCAAACCGAATGGATGATTACATGGCCAAACCGAAGGGATTGGATCGGATGATTTTTGCTTCCAAAACCGATCCAATCCAGACCGTGAACACCCCTAGTCGGGTTGATTCAGAAATCGGTAAATTGGTCATATGATCGGTTTGATTTTTATGTTGGATCGTTAAGTAACATGCCCCATGCGACTTGATTAATTTTTAAAAAATCAGTGACTTGATCAGTTCAACCAGTGACTCGACCTGGTTTATAAATTTTTTTTCCTAAATAAATATATAAAGGATATCATTTTTTTTAAATTCACAAATAATTTTTTTTCTTTTGAAATTTTAAGTGATTTTTATTTATTGACTTACCTAGGTTAAGTACCTACAACACTAATATTATTTTGGTTTGCACTATGTAACGAATTTCAATTTAATTTATAGCTAGAGACAGGGGCGGACCCACACTATTGCAAGTGTGGGCATTATCAGACACAAATTTTTTAGGGAAATTTTTTTTTACTGAGAATTAAGGGATGATTTGAACAACTCATAATGTAAAATATATCAAGGTTAAAATTAATGTTAAGGACACATGGAAAAGTAAGGAGTGCACATTTGGTTGTTGGCTAGTGTGCTCTTGGAAATGTCTAGTCATGCACCTTTTAGGTATAAAGTTGGCTTTACAACCAAAAATATTGAAACTTATTGGAGTTTCTATGAATTGTTGTACAACTCATAATATAAAATTTTGTACCCTCACTGTTAGAGTCTCTTTGTTTTTTGTCCGTTAGAAAATTCAATGGTCTTTTAAGTTTGATGTAACGGCCATGTGCTGCACTAAAGTTGTTTGATGAGTCTTAACGGTATCATAATGGGTCAGTTTTGGGTAGTATAATGAGTCATTAAGTTAGAGTTTATTTGGGTGTAATGTGTCTCTTAATGTTATGTTTTTCAGTTTTAGTTTCTGATTTATATTAAGTTTGAGTCAGTTTATGAAATTGGTATTCCCTCTTCAAAACATTGAGTTATATTTCTGCATCTTAATTTTTCTCTATCAGTGGTATCAAGAGCCAGGTTGAGAGTTAAACACGTGAGGGAATTGAGTTGTGAAAAAAGAGTAAAGTGAAGAGTCATGGCCACAGATTCTAATTTTGTGCAAGCAGCCATTCCACGTTTCGATGGTCATTATGATCATTGGAGCATGTTGATGGAGAATTTCCTTCGATCCAAGGAATATTGGGATGTAGTTACCAATGGTGTTGTTGAACCAGCACTAGCAGAAGGAGCTCAGTTGACAGCAGCACAACGAGCAGCTCATGAAGCAGTAAAGTTGAAGGATTTGAAGGCGAAGAATTATCTCTTCCAGGCCATTGACCGTTCTATCTTGGAAACCATTCTTTCCAAAGAAACTTCCAAGGATATTTGGGACTCCATGAAAAAGAAGTATCAAGGCTCTGCAAGAGCAAAGAGGCAGCAGCTTCAAGCTTTACGCTCGGAATTCGAAACACTTCGAATGAAGTCGGGAGAATCAATTGCAGATTATTTCTCTCGCGTGATGACCATTGTCAATAAAATGCGAATTCATGGAGGCAGGATAGAAGAAATAACTGTCATAGAAAAAATTCTTCGATCATTAACAGCAAAATTTAACTTTGTTGTTTGTGCTATAGAAGAATCTAAAGATATAGATGATTTGTCACTTGATGAATTGCAGAGTTCATTGGTGGTGCATGAACAGAAGTTCAAACAGGAAGACACAGATGAGCAAGCATTAAAGGCTTCTACCGATACTCGTTCCAACAATTTTCAAGGAAGGGGTAGAGGTAGAGGCAGAGGTAGAGACAGAGGCAGAGGCAGAGGAAGGTCCACTAATTTCAGAGCCAATAATGATCAATTTCAAGGCAGAGACAGAGGAGGAGCCCCTGATAAATCCAAGGTAGAATGTTTCAGGTGTCATAAATTTGGTCATTATCAATCTGAATGTTATACTAAGCTGCCAAATAGCAAAGAAAAAGAAGAAAGTTCAAACTTTGCAGAAAAGGAGGAAGGTGAAACCTTATTGATGGTTGCTAAAGATGAAAAGCAAATTGAGCCAGATGTTTGGTATGTGGATACTGGCTGTAGCAACCACATGAGTGGTAGTAAGTCTTCTTTCTCTCATCTGAATGAAAATTTTCAATCTACTGTGAGTTTTGGTGATCATTCTACTGTGAAAGTAATGGGAAAAGGTGACATTAAAATAAAAACCAAGAATGGTTTTGTGGAAACAATATCTAATGTATTGTATGTTCCTGATTTGAAAAGTAATTTATTGAGTGCTGGCCAATTACAAGAAAAGGGTTATGTGATCACTATTAAAAATGGTGTTTGTGAAATATATGATTCTGTTAGAGGTGCTATTGCTGTTATTCAGATGAGTTCAAACAGATTGTTTCCATTAAAGATTGAAGGAATCCAATCTAGTTTAATGGCTGAAATGAAAGATCCTTCATGGTTGTGGCATTTTCGCTATGGCCATTTGAGCTTTGGTGGGTTGAAGACGCTCCAACAGAAAAATATGGTGACAGGCCTCCCTCAAATCACAATTCCTCATTCCTTAGTATGTGAAGAATGTGTTGTTAGCAAACAACATCGTTCTGAATTTGCAAAAGGGAACTCATGGAGAGCAAAGGGAATTTTGCAATTGGTGCATTCAGACATTTGTGGTCCAATAAATCCAATTTCTAATGGAGGTAAAAAATATTTAATTACCTTCATTGATGATTTTTCTAGAAAAACGTGGGTTTATTTTTTACAGGAAAAGTCAGAAGCTTTCTCTACATTTAAAAATTTCAAAGCTCGTGTGGAGAATGAGACAGGAAGGATGATTCAGACACTTCACACAGATCGTGGTGGTGAATATTGCTCAAAAGAATTTGAAGCTTTTTGTGAAGAACATGGCATCCGAAAAGAGCTTACAACTGCGTATACACCACAACAAAATGGTGTATCAGAGAGGAAGAATAGAACCATCCTCAACATGGTTAGAAGCTTGTTGGTAAGAGGATGAGTTCCAAAGACGTTTTGGCCAGAAGCAGTAAACTGGTGCATTCATGTCTTGAACAGAAGTCCAACCTTTGCAGTTCGAAATATGACGCCAGAAGAGGCTTGGAGTGGGAGAAAACCAAATGTGGATCACTTTAGAATTTTTGGATGCATTGCATATGCTCATGTCCCGGAACAGAAAAGAAAAAAACTTGATGACAAGGCTGAAAAATGTGTCTTTCTAGGTGTAAGTGATACATCTAAAGCATATAAATTATTTAATCCACTGACGAAAAAAATTGTGGTTAGCAGGGATGTTGTTTTTGACGAAGAAAACACTTGGGATTGGAATATGCAGCAGCCTACCGAAGTTCTTTGTGATATTGATTCTGAACAAGAGCAAATTTCAGCATCTAGTATGCCTGAAAATTCGTCCATTGCAACTTCTTCAGCTAGTCAATCCTCACCAACAGTAGTTGGAGTTAACGAAGAAGAAACTCAATCTCTTCGTCGTGTTAGAAGAAGGCCTACTTGGATGGAAGATTATGAGGTAACTGGAATTGAAGATCCAATTACTCACTTTGCTTTGTTTTCAGAATGTGATCCCGTGACTTTTGAGAGTGCTGTCAAAGAAGAAAAATGGCGAAAAGCAATGGATGCTGAAATTGATGCAATTGAGAGGAATGATACTTGGGAGTTAACTGATCTTCCAAATGGACACAAAATCATTGGTGTGAACTGGGTGTTTAAAACAAAGTTAAAGGAAAATGGTGAAATTGACAAGCACAAAGCACGCTTGGTTGTCAAGGGGTACAAGCAACAATATGGGATTGATTATACAGAAGTTTTTTCTCCTGTTGCGAGACATGATACAATCAGGTTGGTGGTTGCATTGGCTGCACAAAATTCTTGGCCTATTTACCAGCTAGATGTCAAATCGGCATTCTTGCATGGGTACT